CTATGGGGAATAAAAATCCAGCACTCAGCATTCTCTGTCCCCTGCTACAGGAGTTTGACCCAGGACAGGACACCTACCAGCATCCCCCCAAGGATAGCAGTGGGCAGCGGGTAGATGTGAGCCCTACCAGTCAGCGCCTGCAGCTCCTGGAGCCTTTTGACAAGTGGGACGGCAAAGACCTAGAGGACCTGCAGATCCTTATCAAGGTCAGCAGCAAGAGGACTGGCAGAACTGCTGGGGCTCCCAGTTCCCTGAGCATCAGGAAAGATTAGGAACCCATTGGGAGCAAGGGTGGATGGTCAAGATGAAGGTGGGACAGGAAGGGAGTTTCGTGGGCACCTGGACAACATCTCTAACAACTTGCTCATCAGTGCCATCAACATTGAAAATGGCAAAGCCAACTCCGTGCGCAATGCTGTCACCCAGGAGTTTGTCCCTGTCCCTGATGCTGCCCGCTACTACAAGAGGAGAAAGGGCATTGTAGCCTGGGCTTCCCCTTCTCTATGGCCCAAGCCGAGTAGGGCTGGTTCTGACTAGCTGTTGTCCGGGGCTCACTCATCGGACATGTATGACTATACAGTGGGTTTCCACATCTCTGGCTTCACTGACCAGGCTCCTGAAGCTGTGGATTCCTCCTGACCCCTGCTGAACACTATTGGTGTGGCCTATGTGTGGGAGCTGAGCTGAGCCTTTATTTGTGGCCAGGGACCTCAAACCCATGTCTGACATTAATTTATATGTTTACTAAGGGGTCTTGTACCCCTGTGACACAGCCAGTATTGAGTCCATGTGACGTGAGACTGATCAGCCAATAGCCAGGAATCCAGTGTCCCAGGCTCTCTGTGTCTAACATGAAGTCTGTTTAATCTTCCACCTTGGACAGTTTTTAATTGAGGCCTAGGCCTGGAGAGGAAGTGGGCAGATACATCTATCTTCCCTTTAAGTGTCCTATCCCATGAGGGAGTATCCTGCCCTAGGGACAGAGAAGTTGTTGAGGGGTGGTTGTCTTGACTGAGCCTGGCAACACCAGGACTGCAGACTACATGTCCAGAAACTGCTTCCCTGGTCACTTCTCTTGGGTCCTGGGCCTGCCTGCTACCTGCCTCTGGAAGGCGGCTTCTTCCCTTTACCATTCACCAGCCCCATACTGACCTCTGTCACCTCTGCTCACTCATCAAGGTCAAAGGGAAGTGTACCACAGACCACATCTCAGCTGCAGGTCCCTGGCTCAAGTTTCGTGGGCACCTGGACAACATCTCTAACAACTTGCTCATCGGTGCCATCAACATTGAAAATGGCAAAGCCAACTCCGTGCGCAATGCTGTCACCCAGGAGTTTGGCCCTGTCCCTGACACTGCCCGCTACTACAAGGTAGGGCAAAGTCAGTGAGGGGCAGTGCTGGGAACCACTCTCCTGAGGGCATGCAGGGCAGGCACTGGGAAGACATGGGGAATGGAAACAGGGAGGCGGGCAACCACTTTCTAAGAGGGAACTGCCATCTGGAAGGAAGGAAGGAAAGCCCTTCAGCCACTCCCCTGCAGCTCAGGTGGGCAGAGCTGGGTGCACACACCCAGGAGCTGATAGTGAGAGGAGCACTGTTGGCAGATGTTTGACCCAGTTCTGAGAATGGAGAATGTTGGAAGAAACTGTGGAGGAAAGAGAAACTGCCTTGGGAAATCAGAGAGGAGCCTGAGGCTCAGAGAAGAAGAAAAGAGCTGTGCAGGCCTTAAGGGAATGGGCAATGAGGATCCACAGTCAGCCCGGCCCGGCCAGAAGCCAGGGAGCAAGGAGTTTGGGGACAAGGTTAGAGGAACCAAGGGACTGCCAAGGTTAGAGGCAGAGCCAGAGTCCAAAGCTTTTTGACTCTTTCTACTTTGAGAAATGAACAGAACCAAGACTAATCCCAAGTCCTGGCCCATCAGTATCTCCGGGCACCCCTGGTGGCTGGACAGGGCACAGTGGGTGCTCACTGCACCCCAGAGCCCACACCAGCTGTACAAGAGCCTTGTCTCCCCTGCCTACTATAACCACAGCTCTGCCCCACTCTGACCTCCATTTTTCTCACTCTGCACTAAGCCCCAGTGTTGTGACTTCTGTGTCCACTGCAGACAGGCAGGCAGGGCCCATGTCCACCTGCTGCTGCCCCTCAGGGCCTAGTTGGACCCAGTCAGTCCACTCTGACTTCAGCTGCCCTTCAGAGCAGAAGAGGAAAGCCCCTCTAGCCCTTCCCTCATGGGCTTCAGTATGCGCAGGGGCTACTGGGAGGTGCATGCCTTCCTCTGCCTCACGACGAGCTCCCCTTGCCCGGCAGAAACACGGCATCAGGTGGGTGGTGATTGGAGATGAGAATTATGGTGAGGGCTCCAGCCGGGAGCATGCAGCGCTGGAGCCTCGCCACCTTGGTGGCCGGGCCATCATCACTAAGAGCTTCGCCAGGATCCACGGTGAGTGGGAGTCCACACCCAGCCATTCCTATTGCCCTTCACTCAGAGCCCAAGGTCACCCACCCTGCCAGCAGCCTACTTGGTCCTGGAGCCAAGTGCCTAGCTCCCAGTCTATGTCTAACCATCAGCCCCTTCTCAGGTTTACATTGCCCAAATCTAATGTCCACAGCTTCCTATCAGCTCTGGTCTTGCTTCCACACTTGAAGACCAGAGCAGTTGAAATCCAGGACACATGATGAGAGAGTCTGTTCTCATTGTGAACATGTCTACCAGGAAGGCCTCACAGAGACATCTACACCAAGGCATACCCCTTCAGGTGTCCCTAGCGAAAGGGAGCATGTCACTGGGACTTTAGTAGACCTGAACCCTCTAGTCATTGTGTTTGTTCCCAGTAGCAGGACCAGAGGTGTCTGCCAAGGTCCCAACCAGATTTAGAAAATGATATATTCCTTGGACTGGTAAAGGTCCCTGAAGGGGAAGAGGAAGGTAAGGCTGGGGACCAGCAAACACCACCCTATTAACTGAGTGTGCCTCTGTCTTCCAGAAACCAACCTGAAGAAGCAGGGCCTATTGCCTCTCACCTTTGCTGACCCTGCTGACTACAACAAGATACACCCTGTGGACAAGCTGACCATTCAGGGCTTGAAGGACTTTGCCCCCGGCAAGGTCAGAGGGCAGGGAAGGAGCATAGACAGGCTAGGGTCCTCCTGGGTGGAAGATTGGGGCAGCCACTTTCCCTTCCCGCTGTCCCTGCAGCTCCTCCAAGTGAGCTGGAAGGGCCCTTAAGTTCTCTAGGCAAATCCCAGACAGGAAGAGAAGTGCCTTTGCAGAGCCAAGGGTGGAGCCAGCCCAGGCTTCCCCAGTGTGATCCACTGGCCCCAGGACCCCCCTCTGGGTGGCACTGAGGCCCAGATCTGCCTAGGACTTACTTTGCCTAAAGGTCTCCAAATCCCTTGGCAACTTCGGGGCCCAAAGCAGCTACCCCAGGCTGGCTTCTCCCTACCTTCCCATTCCTGCCCCAACTCAACCCTGCCAGTGGTCATGTTGCTAGGAACATTTATGGCTCTTTACCTACACCTGCCTCCCCCATTGCAGCCCCTGAAATGCATCATCAAGCACCCCAACGGGACCCAGGAGACCATCCTCCTGAACCATACCTTCAATGAGACGCAGATCGAGTGGTTCCGTGCAGGCAGTGCTCTGAACAGGATGAAGGAGCTGCAGCAGTAAGGAAGGGCCCTGCTCTGCCCCAACCCCTGCCCACGCTGGTGTCATTACAAGTGCAGTTCCACATGCATCGTCAGGGCCACTGGTCCATCCAATCATGGCTTCCTACTCCGGGATGGTGTGACCAGACGTGCTTCCTGGTCTTTCCCACCTCAGCCCACTCAGTGACCCATGGTGGGGGCTTCTTAAAATCAATTACCAGCCCCCTGCCTTCCCATTTTTAGTTTCAAATCTTGAGCAGCGCCACATGACTGTATTTATTTTTATGACAACACTCCCCTCTAAAGAAGTTTTTATTCTGCCTGTTCATTTGGTGGCTGAAGGATTTTAGAGGACATTTTTTTCTTGCAAGAAAAATAAGAATCCAAATTCATTGACTGTTCCTGCGTGAGTGGTGGTCTCTGCTGTTTGTACCAACTCCAGGGTTCAGGGAAGGCCTTTTTAGCCAAAGTCAGTGGACACCCCACAGTCACATCTGGAGCCCAGTTGCTGCTGTGAAGGAGATGTGAGCTGTGGCAGAAAGGCCCTCCTGCACTTGCACCAGCTATACAGGCATGGCCCTAGATCCCATGGTTTTCCTGGTGGGAAAGAGCCTCTTGGAGAGAGAACCCACCTTCTTCCCTTGGGCACTGATGGCATGATATTGTTAATCACTCTAATCACTCTGAGGGATGGCCTGTGTATCTTACAGATAAGGTCATGACTGGAATATGCTATATAATGTTCTGTCCCTTTAGCATGGTGAAAAATAGGGTCCCCCTGAGGTTACATAGGCTGACACTGCCCAGGACCTCCACTGGTAATCTGAAGTAAAAAGTCTCCATGGAGACCCAACACCAGGACAAGACTCAGGTACAAGTGTCCTGGTGTCCACAGCATTGGGAGAAAGGGGCAGGAGGACCTGTCAGAGCCATTCTCCTGCTCAAATCTGGGGCATCACTGCACTACAAAGCTATACCTGCAATCTGAGTGACAGGCACCAGGATTCCTGCTCTTCTATGGGGGATGATACCTGAGGTCAAGAAAGCCCACAACCTTCACTTCCTCAACTCGGAGCTGCTTTGGCCAATTTTAGGGGCTTCCTTCTATCTTCCAAATGTAGAGTGGGTGTACTGCCTCTAACTCAGTCAATAACTGGTAACTTCAGGACTAAAGCAGCTAGCCTAGACTGGCCTCTCTCTACTATGGAGCTAAGCTCAGCCAGCCCAAGGCCCTGCCTGGGGTGGCAGGAATTCCACAATCTGAAAACCCCACTTTTTGCCATTTGGGGGGAGTTCTTCAAAAGGGATATGGGGTGAGTTAAGGACATGTCCCAGCTTGGCAACTAAGTAGATCATGACATTGGCCATTGAAACAAATCCAGGGAAGGATCTTGATGATCCTTCCCTGCAGATGCTGCCATTACTTTATTAAAATGTTGCTATCACTGAAAATCACAGGATGGGACTGGATAGGGCTGGGAGTGTGGCTCAGTGGTCTCAGTCTTTGCCTAGCATGTGGCAGGCCCTATGTTCCATCATCCCCCAGCACCGCCAAAAAAAAAAAAAAAAAATCACAAGATGGCAGGACTTCAGGGGTAGCGCTCTGTGGGGAAGATCAGGACTAGGTCACTGGGGAGGGAGGACATACTGGCAGCAGTGCTGACCCCTGCCCCTTCCGGTCCTGGGTGACATGGACTCCTCAGCATCTGCTCAGGACCAGCTGCACCACCTTCCCCAGGGCTGAGGTAGGGTCTACTGGATGGGCAAGTTCCCCGTCGAACCCCAGATCTAGTTGCTGGTCCACCATGAGAGAAGGCCCAGGCCAGGCTCACTGATGGATCCCTGCCAGAGAGAGAATAGGTATGTTTCACCACCATTTAGGGCTTAACTACCCTGGAGAGGAGGTTAACAGGGACCCACCCTGTTCACAGCAGAACCAGCATAGGCAAAGGAGAGGTGAGGCACACAACAGCCATGGGGCTGTAGGGAAATGAGGACCCACATCCGTGATGGCACAGTGGAGCACGTGGGGCACAGACCCCTCTCCTGCCCCTCCCCTCCTGAGGTCTGTAAGGAGAGTGCTGGTTTGCTGGCCCCAAGGCCTAGGTGGGATCAAGCACCGGTCCTCACCCCCAGGCCCACCCTCCTAAGTCATCTGTAGTCTAGTCCTGCCAGAAAACCTGACAGTCCATGAGGCCTGGCCTCCAAATATGTACAGAGGAAGCAGCCCCTGGGCCACTCTTCCCTCCTTGGCTTGTTTCTTCCCTGTAGCCCCAGTGGCTTGTGCAGCATGGACCCTTGCAGGCAAGGCACTTATCCCGCCCACCCTCTCCAATATTCCTGGCAACTTTGGCTCCACTGCCCTAGCCTTGAGAAACAGGGATTTTGATTTTGGGGCAGACCAAGACCACAGAAGAGGGGCCTGGTCCCTGACCTGCTGGAGAGCAGGTCCTATAGCAGAACTTCCAGGGAGCTGCCTATCACTGCACACTGGGCTCTCCTGCCTCCCAGTGATTCCTGCTGCACCATCAAAACCTCTCACCACAAGTGTGTATGGAGCCTCCTTCTTTGGCAGCTCCTCACTGGAAGAGGTGGCCTCCGCAGAGCTGGGCCCTGTAGGAGAAGTGTCCACAAAGCTCTCATCCACCACTCGGAAGCGGATCTCCTCACCAGTGTCCATGTACAGGTCGTGTGCTCCCTCCTCCGTCTCATACTCCCACACCCACACCTGTTCTGCTTCATCACTGGGAGCCCAGGGTCAAGGCCACAACCAAGCCGTGAGGAGCACGGAAAAAACAACCCCAAAAGATGACATCACTTTGGCTGAGAAGTCACTGGAAAAGCAGGTGCGACTGGCTGCAGTGTCTGTTTCCAACAGTGAGAAGCAGGAGTTGCTGCTGCCAGGGAAACACTGGGACCACAGCCAGCCCACCTCTCAAAGAGTGACTGAGGTACCTTATACCACTTCTCATCCAAACCTTGTGACAACCCAAGGGACAGGTAGCTTAAGGGCTTGTCCAGTTCTCAAGAGGATGAGGTGGTTGGGAGGTTACCTGCCTAAAGCCCTACCATTGATGAGAGTAGCAGCCAGGCTGGGTCAGGTGTGATGTCACACCAGGCAGGGCAGCACCCCCATCCCCACCACCCCCTCCTCTCCCACCCCAGAGCCCACAATGAATCACACTGCCCTCTAGTGGCAGTCCCACCACTGGGCACTGCCTCCTCTACCAGGCCCCTTCTGGCCCCTGGCTACAGTTCCTCCAGTGAAGAGTCTCTGATTAGTGACAGCTCCACAGAAACAAGACAAGTGCAGCCAGTTGCAGCACCGGGATTGGGACAATAGTGGGCCTGGAGAGGAAGACTTGCACCTAAGTAAAGTGAATCAGAAGAAGAGGGTCCCACAGCCCTATTCTACCATCAGCCTGCTACTTGCAGACAAGGGCATATGGAACTGAGGTCAGGTGGAAAGCAGAGGTGGGTCAGCATACCCAAAGCACAAGGGCTGCAGGGGGACAGCAGTGTCAGGTCACAGGATATGAAGGCCACCACAGGAGCAGGTACCTTCTATTGAAGAGGCCTAACTCCTCTGTGACCCACTTTTACCTTGGAAGGATACAACTTGGCAGGCTGCTGCAGTGACTCTGGGGGAATGAGAATGTCATCAAAGAACCCTAGAGAGACTGGAAGAAACAGAGATGACTACATGAGACAGGGCCCAAGAAGCCAGCCAGACAATAAGGGGTCTGCATGCTCAATAGGCACATCGCTATCCAGTGTGCCCATGGGGCTGATGTCACCATGGGATTTAGCCCTTCTCACCTCAGATCCCCACACCTCTGCCTACATCACACACCAGCCTGGGCAAAGCTCTAAGCACCTGGTACCCCAAACCTGAGGTCTGAGTTATGGCCTCATAGTGAAAGCCGATGGCCAACTGAGGTCCTTGCTCAATACCTGAAAGTGGGAGGGAGCTGAGTATACCTGTGCTTGGCCCTGAAAGCTGAGCAGTCTCCTCCAACAGCACAGGAAGATCTGCTTCCATATCTGAGCACCCCACCCCCCCAACCACATGCACAGCACAGGCTACCTGCCCCCAGCCAGACTGCCCGAGATACTCAAGGTCACCTCACCATGCACTCCCTCTGGGCTGCAGCCCTTGATCTTCCCAATCAAAATCTCATCCAGGAATGGGTGGAACACCACATAGCGAAAATGTACTGAAAATGAAGGCAGCACGTTATTGACCAGCAGGCACAGGAGGATGACCTTGGAGACTGGAGTTAACCATGCTCTCCACAATCCCTCCTCACCACCAGCACACTGACCCAGTGGTCAATGTCAAGTCCTCCTGCAAATCCACACCCTTCGGCTGAGCCCAAGAGACCCTCCCTCACCCCCAACAAGGTCATAGCTTGATCCTTTGAGGGACCAGCAGCAGCAGTTGCTCTGGGTCTGTGGGCTGGCTCCCAAATCCATATGATAAGCCACACCTGAGCCCACACTCTGGGCCATGGATGACTCCAAGTCAATTGCAACCTTCCTCCAGGCTCTGCTTTAAATTCTAAAAAGGGCAACTGGCAAAGGAAATCAGGTTTGGAAACAAGTTCCTATCTCCTGATGACTGTTGAAGTTTGCCCCAGGCACAGTGCTGACCTGGAACAGGATGCTAAAAATGCCCTGAACTTAGGGGGTAGAGTGGGTGTGGTGTGACAGCCCAGCAACATACCTCTGTGGGGTGTCAAGACTACCTCAGGTGTCCCCAATCTCCTCATCTCAAGAAAAAATACCAGCTATGGTCCATGCCCACATCACTCTGACCCCAGGACCAAGCAGGACCGTCTGCCACATGACCAACACTCAGCTTGGTTTAATGAATCCTCAGATTCTCTACCAGGTGTGCACCAGTTTGGGCATCAGGCTTGTAAAGGCAGACAGCACATAACGGGGTGCCTAGGAAGCAACAACTTTTTTTTTTTGGTACTAGGGATTGAATTCAGGGGAACTCAAACACTGAACCACAACCCCAGCCCTATTTTGTATTTTATTTAGACACAAGGTCTCACTGAGTTGCTTGGTACCTCACTGTGGCTGAGGCTGGCTTTGAACTCACAATCCTCCTGTCTCAGCCTCCCAAATTGCTGGGATTACAGGCGTGTGGCACTGTACCTGGCTTCAGCTTTTTCTTGTATTTTATTAGAGACAGGATCTCACTGAATTGCTCACAGCATCCCTAAATTGCTGAGACTGGTTTTGAGCTTGAAATCCTCCTGCCTCAGCCACTGGGATTACAGGTGTATGCCACTGCGCCCAGCAAGGGAGTACCATCTTAAACCACATCCAAAAGTCAGAAGCATACAGCCCGAGTGTCCATCTATGGATGAATTGTACACAAATGTGGTGCCCATACTCATGGGATTATAAACCCTAAGGAATAGGGCTAGGGGTGCAACTCACTGATAAAGCCCCTGCCTTACTTGTGTGATGCCCTGAGTCCATCCCCAGCACCCCTCCCTCACCAAAAAAGGAGAGTTTGGCCTGCACGGTGGCACGTGCCTGTAATCCCAGCAGCTCGGGAGGCTGAGGCAGGAAAATTGTGAGTTCATAGTCAGCCTCAGCACTTTAGCAAGGCTCTAAGCAACTTAGCAACACCCTGTCCCTAAATAAAATATAAAAAGGGCTGGGGATGTGGCTTAGTGGTTGAGTACCCCTAGGTTCAACCCCCAGTCTCCAATTAAAAAAAAAAAGAAGAGTTTGTTCTTAGTTGTGGGCTTAAGCAAAATTTGTGCAAGAATAAGTAAGGTTGCCTTGGGGTGTAGTAAATTTCTGCAATAAGGACACTATGATTCTTACTCATGTCATGGTCAAATTCACAGGGCCAGAAAGCAGAATGGGGGTTTTGAGGAACTACAGAATAAGAAGACAGTATTTAATGGGAAGGGAATTTCACCATAGGAAGTTGAGAAAGTCTTGGAGGTAGATGGTGGTAACGATAATAATAGCCAGGTATCGTGGCACACACCTATAACCCCAGCAGCTCAGGAGGCTAAGGCAGGAGGATCACAACTTCAAAGTCAGCCTCAGCCACTTAGCAAGACCCTATCCCAAAATAAAAAATAAAAAGGGGTAGGGATGTAGCTCTGTGGTTAATCCCCCCTGGGTTCAAACCCTGGTTCCAAAAAAAAAAATTTTTTTTTTTTTAATTAAAGGGATGGGAATGTAGATCATGGTAAAGCACCCATGGGTTCAATCGCCAGTACTTTGGGGTGGCAGGGGGAGGACACAATGGGAATATATTTAATATCACTGAACTGTACACACAAAAAGTTAAATCATTACATTTTGTTACACACTTTTTATCACAACAGTGAATAAAAAAGAAAAAGAAAAACCAATAGCAGGCTGCTCAGGGCTAAGTGAACAGAACAGAGCATTAGAGGGGGAGGCCAGGACCCAGGCTTGGCGGGCACAGGTGGATAAGCCTGGCAAGTCAAGGTCAGAGTCTCAAATCATGAAAGCTGAAGTCTTTTGAGTACCCACCACACAGGAAGTTTTGCAGAAGAGTCTACTCGTGTACATTTAATGAGGTATGCACTGTTATAGTACTGGAATAGATGGGGAAATGGAGTTTCAGAGAGCTAAAGCAACCTGTCTTAGTTGACAAAATGCAGAAGCACCTAGCAAATGAATATTCCTCAAAGCAGAGGTAAAGGCAGGACCTATCCTGGTGCTATGGCCCCCTGCGGCACTTGCTCCACCAGACCAGAGCCTTGTGGGAGGCAGAAAGGGGACAGCACAACTGTGCCTGGGGACAAAAGCCAGCATCAGAATCAAACAGCAACTGACCTCACTACAAAATACAAACTCCACCTGCATGGTGCTCAGTGGCCCATGAGGAGCTATATTACCAGAGAGTTACCCTACTGCACTCACGGAGAAACCATAACCAGGAAACGGAATGACCTGCCAGTGCCTCCATCCAGGACCAGACCCAGAATTCACATCTAGTCCCTGTGATGTGCCTACCCAGCGCTCAGTGCCGCATATTTGTTCCCAGGTGAAAAATGATGAAGATCAATGGGCAGTCGTACACAGAAACAACCAACCGACCATGCAGAACTTCCCCAAACCAGACTTATATCTGGAAGCTCAGGTACCTAGGGCCACCTGCTTTCTGGACAACCAGAGGTCACTCAGAGCCAGGGCTCAGCTCAGCTCCTTCTCCTGGAAGCAGCCCTGCTGGTGGTTTTCACATCACAGTCTTTGTTTTCTGCTCATGAAAATGCCCCTAGTCCACTCAAAGACAGCCTATTTCTTAGGGCTCCCTATGGAGCACAGTAACATCCACATGAATGAGTCAAGCCCTGGATGCCTGCAAGGGCCCAGGCAGTCCCAGCACATTCTGGAATGCCTGGGCATCCCCGTGCTGAGAGGCTGACAAGCAAAGGCTAGGACAGGGCTCCTTGGCCACCGGCTGTGAGAGCATCACAGGGCCCTTAAAACTGCCTCACTCTGCTCTCAACTCTGATCCATGGTCTGGGCAGGCTGAGAATCTGCATTTCCATCACATGCCCAGGTGACAGCAAGGCTACAGACCCACACTCCAACAAGCTCCCCACATCTCCATCAGGACTACACCCCAGGCCCCTCTCCTCCTCTAACCCTGCACGCCTAGATGCACACCCCTTCAATGTGACAGCATTTTCTCCCATCAAGAGGTGGAGTCTCTGGGGCTGGGGTTGTGGCTCAGTGGTAGAGCGCTTGTCTAGCATGCGTGAGGTGCTGGGTTCAACCCCCCAGCACCACATAAAAATAAACAAATAAATAAAGGTATTGCGTCCATCTACAACTAAAAAAAAAAAAGAGGTGGAGTCTCTCCATCTCTTGCCCAGGGCCTTAGCCACATGACCCTCTGGCCACTGGGATTTAAACAGAGGCTGCAGAAGCGCTTCCTCAGTGAGCTTTGCAACCTTGAAACTGCCAAGCCCAGAGTGGCCTACTGAAAGATGAGACCACAGGAGGACCCAGACCAGCCAGGCTGCCACTAACCAGAACACACAGCCATCCTACATGGCCCAGACCTGGCCAAGCCACCCCAGAAGAACACCACCTAAATGACCCAGAGCATGGAGAAAAGCAATCCAACTGGAGGAGTACATGCTAGGTGCTATGGTCTTGTCCTAGGAGCTCTACCATATATTAACCCCATCCTCACAGCAGTCCTGGAATATAAAATGTCTCTCTTTTTTTTTTTTTTTAAGGGGGGAGAGAGAAAGAGAGAGTGAGAAAGAGAGAGAATGAATATCTTTTTTGTAGATGGACACAACACAATGCCTTTATTTTTATGTGGTGCTGAGAATGGAACCCAGGTCCCGCCCATGCTAGGCGAGCTCTCTACCGCTGAGCCACAAACCCAACCCATAAAAATCTCTTAACTGCATTTGGTAGATGAGGAACAAGAAAGACAGAGGACACACAGCCAATAAGCAGAGTAGCGATCTGAATCCACAGGCCACACTTTTTCTTTCTTTCTTTCTTTTCATATTTATTTATTTATTTATTTATTTTAGTTGTAGACAGACATGATACCTTTATTTTATTTACTTAGTCATTTTTATGTGGTGCTGAGGATCGAACCCAGGCCTTGCACGTGCTAGTCGAATGCTCTACCACTGTGCCACAACTCTCCCGCCCCCACACACTTTTTCTTTTCTTTTTTTTTTTTTTTTTGGGGGGGTGTGCTGGTTACTAAACTCAGAGCCCACAGCATGCCAGACACTCAACCATGGAGCCACATCCCCAGGCCTTTTTTCATTTTATTTTGAGACAGAGTCTTACTAAGTTGCCCAGACTTGCCTGGAACTCGTGTTGCTACTGTCTCATCTTCATGAGTGGCCAGAATTATAGGCCTGTGCCACCATACCCAGCACAGGCCACATTTTCAACAGCTATGTCCTCCTGCTTCTCAAGGTCACCTGCTTCCCCCACCCCGTAACCCAACAATGGCCTGGCCTGTCTCCTGTACCAGGTGATGAGCAGCCCCAAGGATGGGTAGAGAGCAGAGCTGGGGAGTAGAAAAGACCCAAAGGGGCACAGATGTGGAGCCCCAATCACAGAGCTGGAGAGGTCTTGAAAATCACCTAGTTTACCTCCAATTTCTTTTTCTGGTACCAGGGATTGAACTCAGGGGCACTTGATCACAGAGGCATATCCCCAGCCCTATTTTTGAATTTAGAGACAGGGTCTGAGTTGCTTAGCACCTCACTTTTGCTGAGGCTGGCTTTGAATTTGCGATCCTCCTGTCTCACCCTCCCAAGCCACTGGGATTACAGGCGTGCGCCACCGTGCTGGCGTTACATCCTATTTCTTACAGATGAGAAAACTGAGGCCCAGAGAGGACATGAATCTGCCCACTATTTTGGCATCAACTCTTGACACAGTCAGGAATGGGCCCAGGTCTCCCACCACCTGCAGTTTCTCTACAGCTTGACCTCTTGCTATAGAATTGAGCCCAGGAAATGCAATGCCCTAGGAGGAGAAGGTACCCACCTTTGGTATGTGAAGCGCCATCCCCTGGGAACACATAGGCATCCTCCAGCTTGGTGATGTCAAACAGACAGATGCAGAGTCCCACGTTGTACACAACCTGTGTGCATGTGTACACATACATGTGTCTATGAAGTCCAGTTCCCCAGGGGTACCTCTGGAGACCCTCATAACCACAAGCAAGTTGAGTGTCCTCTTTTAAATGGAAATTAGTTGGGGCTCTGCAGGGGTAATCATGGTAGGGAAGCTCAGAAGGACACAGGGCTCTGGAAAGAGCAGGCCCCATGGTGACAAGACAGATCCAGCCTCCAATGCCAGCTCTATCGTTCACTGTGTGACCCCTAATGCCATCATATTGCCTCTTGGAGCCTGTTTCCCCATCTGCAAAAATGAAATATATATAGTATTGTTAAATTATACAGAGATTGGAGTGAAGCTCTATCTTAGTGTCTGGCTAAGCCACTGCAAAAACAACCAAGTGAGGATCCCTGGTATTACCAGTGAGGACTGGGGCAGGAATCCTGGCTACATCCATACATTTCAACATCCCAAAGTTCACGCTGCAGCTTGCAGCCATTGAGTGGTAGAACCACAGCTAACTCTGCTGTGCTCACAATGTGTCAGACACAGGCAGTTGTAGGGATTGTGCTGGCACAGTGACCAAGGGCCAAGACCCTAAGACAGGACAGAACATCCCATGGCCCCAGTCCCACACCACAGTGCTCCAAACAACTTGTCTACTATGTCCAGTATCCACCAACAACACTATACTATCACCTCCTAGTAACAGACCTTGCAGGAGCTGTTCAGGGATTAGCAAGATACTCAGAGAACTGAGCTGTGGGCAGACCTCACTGCCACAAGATTATGAAAGCCAGTGGCTCAGGAGGCAGGTGAGATGCCCTTCAAGGACACTAGGTCTTTTCTGTATGGCCTCCTCTCAGACTCCCTAGTTCAAATATAGAAAGATTTGTCTCAAAAGGACTACGCCCCAGGGGACCATATTCCCTTCTATATTTTCACACCTTCTCTCTACCATGTTCATACCTCATTCCTCCACAAATCTTCACCTTCTACCTCACAAGGTAACAGAAACATCCACTAAGGGTTCCATGAGTTCCCTCCACCAACTAAACACTCCCAGATCTGTACACTGCCATCCTTTGATCTCAACCTATTTTGAAGGAATCTTCCTCCTGTCTAAAGTCAACCAGTCTTCCTCTGGCTCTTTCCCAGCCCATCACCTCCTGCTGCTCTACCCATGAAGACTGAAACTCTGACTGTGAAATCGTATGGGGATGCAGGCCTATCCATCTTCCAGCCCACGCTCCTCTCACCCTTCCCAAACCTACTAGCTTCCTCCATGTCCTTCCACAGGGCCTTTGCACATGCTGATTCCTCTGCCTGCACAGCTCTTCTCTATGCCTGGCCTACTCCCAACTCAAAAACAAATCCTCCAGTTGGCTCCTCCTCACCATCACATCTCCTCACAATCAGATGGCTCAAGTGCCACCTCCTCAATAAAGCCACCTATCCCTCTCATTCCAGGTGAAGTTCTTTTGTTCCACAAGTGTGTGAATACCTGTTCTTCATGATATTTATATCAACTCATCCTCATATACTTAACTGTGGGGGTCCTCCTTAATCATTTCTGCTTTTCTCACCATAATCAATAATTATGGAGCATTTACTCTGCCAAGCTCTGGCTAAGTGTGGAGATACTGCAAGGAAAAAAACAGACAGGTCCCTGTCCTCATGGAGAGGAAAAACAAAATGCACTCAACAAATAAACAAAAAACAAGAATGTAACAGAGGAAAGAAAAAAGCAAGGTGTGGTGGCATGCCTGGAATCCCAGCAGCTCAGCAGACCAGTTCAAAGTTAGCTTCAACAACTAGCAAGGCTTTAAGCAACTCAAGGAGACCTTCTCTAAATACAATATAAAAAAATACTGGGGGGCTTGGGATGTGGTTCAAGCATAGTGCGCTCCCCTGGCATGCAAGCCGCCCGGGTTCGATCCTCAGCTCCACATACAAACAAAGATGTTGTGTCCACCAAAAACTAAAAAAATAAATATTAAAAATTCTCTCTCTCTTTAAAAAAAAAAAGATACTGGGGATGTGGCTCAGAGGTTAAGCATCCCAGGGTTCGATCCCTGGTACAAAAAAAAAAATTAAAAGGAAAGATAATGATGACACTGGACCACTGGGCAGAGGGCAAGCACAGAAGGATAGGAAGGCCGCTCAGGAGCTAGCACTGAGGCAAACAGGCATGGCACATAGAAGGTGTGCAAACATGTCACAGGAATAAACGGATAAATCTCCTGATAGTGAATTCCATGCCACTAGAACTCTCCATCTTCACAAAAAATAACAAATGGTAGGTAGAAGAGCATTGTTCTCATTTTGTAATAGAAACTGAGGCCCAAAGGGAGTGACTTGCCCAAGATCGCAAAGTGATTTGGAAGTGTGGAACCCGGCACTTATCTGTTACAAAACCCTTTAAAAGTCCATTTTCTCTTCTGATCCCCTCCTCAATCCTTGTGAGATTCGGAATACCCCCATCCCGTTTCCAAGCGGCGGCAAGGAGGTCCTGAGACATTCAGCTACTTGCCCAGGGACAAGGCTGGGCATGACCGTGACCAGGGCTGCAGCGGGCGGGGCCGGGCGGTACCTTGTTGGCCAATTTCTTGTTCAGCTCCTCGGCAATAGAGTCGTTGAGCTTCCTCTCAAACTGCCACGGGGGGATTCGCACGGTGTCCACCATCTCCACCAGGACGAACATCCCGGCCTGCGCCTGGAGCTCTGGGAACCGGAGAGCAGGTCTCGCACCAGGGTCAGGTGTGTGGGGACCCTCAGCCTTACCGTCCTGTCTCAGTTGCTGAGACCCCCCCGCCCCCGCCGCCCTGCCACAAATCCGCGCCACGCGCCGCCACCACGCACAGCGCACCCGCACCCAACCGCCCCGGTGTTGCCAGACTGTGCGCGAGATTCCGAATTCCGTCACTTCCGAAAAGACGACCAATAAGAAGGCTCCGCCCGCCCCCTGGCGCGGGGCGGAGCTACTACAGGCTCTTGAGAGGGCGGGGCTACTACAGGCTCTTGAGGGGGCGGGGCCTGGAGATGGAAGAGGCGGGGCCTCCCTCAGCTGCGGAGCGGTCACCCCGGGGCGGAGCGCTTTCCGGTTGCTAGGCGACCTGCAAGCTCTCCAGGCCGGTGAGTGGCGCTCTTGGACTGGACTGCAGTACCTTCCTTCCAGGTCTCTAGCGGTTTTCTGCTCCGCATCTGGTGCGATCCTTTCAAATCACAAACATCATGCTGAAAACCCTTCGGTACTCTTGAGTTGTATTCGGGGAGTTGCCGAGAAAGGGGCACTAGGAACTTTACTGGGACGATAGAAATGTTCTGGGTCTTCTTTTAGGTGGTGGTAACCATGATGAATACAATTGCCAAAACTCAGCGAACCCAACACTTAAGATCTTTGCATTTAGAGCTGGGGTTGTGGCTCAGTGGCAGAGCCCTTGCCTCTCACATGTGAGGCATTGGGTTTGATTCTCAGCACCACATAAAAATAAACAAAGTAAAGATATTGTGTACATGTATAACAAAAAGTTTTTTAAAGTCTCCTAATATTAATAATAAGATCTTCTCATTTAGCCTGGCGCGGTGGCGCACACCTGTGATATCCCAGCAGCTAGGGAGGCTGAGGCAGGAGTATCACGAGTTCAATGGTCTAATGCTCCTGAGTTCAATCCCCGGTAGTCACCCCACCCCCCGAAAAAAAAAAAAACTTTGCATTTAATGGGAGACAGACTATACCTAAATTTAAAACTAATAGGAGTGGGGGCTGGGATTGTGGCTCAGCGGTAGAGCGGTCGCCTAGCATGGGCGGGTTAGATTCTCAGCACCACATAAAAAAGGAAGGAAGGAAGGAAAGAAGGAGGGAAGGAGGGAAGGAAGGAAGGAAGGAAGGAAGGAAGGAAGGAGAAGGGAAGGAAAGAAAGAAGAAAGAAAGAAAAAAGAGAAAGAAGAAAGAAAGAAAGATTCTCTCTTAAAAAAAAAAAAAAAACTAAAAACTAATAGGGGCAGAGGATGTAGCTCAGTAATAAAGTGCTTGCCTAGCATGTTTAAGTCCCTAGGTTCTATCCTCATTACTGTGTAAATAAATAAATGCTAATAAATTGGGACAAAATAAAACCCACAAGACTTATCAGGACCCTGTCTCAAAAATAAAAAGGCCTGAGGATGGAGGTCAGTGTAGAGGGTCAAAAAACAAAAACAAACAAACACACACACACACACACAAAAAAAAAAAAAAAAAAAAAACCACCTCAGTAGCATTCCATTGAATTAAGAATAAGTCCAGAGCTGAGGATATAGCTCATGGAAAGAGTGCTTGCCTCACATGCGCAAGGCCCTGGGTTCAATCTCCAGCACCACAACTCAGGAAGCTGAGGTGGGAGATGGTGAGTTTGAGGGCAGCTTGGGCAACTTAGCAAAACTCTCTTTAAATATAAAAACTAAAAATGGCTAGGGATATACCTCAAAGCCCAATTTCTCTAGGCTCAAACCCGAGTACAAAAAAGGTCTTTGGAGGGCTGGGGTTGGGGTTGTGGCTCAGAGGTAGAGCGCTGTATGTGTGAGGCTCTGGGTTTGATCCTTAGTACCACGTAAAAATAAAATAAAGATATTGTGTCCACCCATAAATAAAAAATAAATATTAAAAAAATATCTTTGGGAATACTTGAAAAGACAATTTCCATCAATGAATTTGCTGATTTCCCAAGCACAGAGATTTCTCAATGAGACTGGCTGCAGTGCTACTGAATATGGCTTTCACTACATCTATATTTTGTTTGTAGGTTGGTCTGCTTCTACTAGGATTTGAACTACTTAAAGACAAGAATAAATGCTATTTCTGTTCTTTTTATTTCCACAATCCCTTAACATAATCCCTAGGAGGCATTCAATAAAGAACGTAGATTAATATTAATTCTTTCTCTCAGATATCTCATTTGCTTGGGGCTGGGGTTGTGGCTCAGTGGCAGAGCGCTCGCCTCGAACTTGTGAGACCCTGGGTTCGATCCTCAGCACCACATGAACATAAATAAGTGAAATAAAGGTATTGTGTCCAACTGAAAATAAATATTTTTTTAAAAAATCTCATTTGCTGCTTCTTTATTTCTTTCTCACTGCCACTGCTTTGGTTCAGGCCTTCTCACTGCTGTAACTTAGAACACACCCCACTCTGACCTCAGTCTTTTCTGCAAATAATTGCCACACTATCACAAAAGCCTACCCACCAGGAATCTCTTTTTCCCACACAGATATGGAACTAGCTGGTGGGTGGTACATGCCTGTAATTGCAATGATTCAGGAGGCTGAAACAGGAGGATCTCAAGTTCAAAACCAGCCTCAGCAACTTATTGAGGACCTAAGCAACTTAGCAGGGCCCTGTCTCAAAATAAAAAAATAAAAAGAGCTGGGGAATTAGCTCAGTGGTAATGTGCCCCTAGGTTCAATCCCCAGTACATCCCCCAAAAAAGAATTCTAATGAACCCAGCATTCCTCTTTAGCATCATCTCCCTCTGAACTCAAGGAATAGGGAACCTCCATTGCCGTCGATGAGGCAACCCATCTCCAGCCTCAATCACTACTTTTTTTTTTTTTTTAAACTGGAGATAAGAGCCTGGACCTTAATCATACTATGTAAATGCTCTGCCACTGAGCTACATCCCCAGCCCTCAATTACCTCTTCTTTACCTGGAAAGCTCCTAGTCTCCCATCAGAACCCAAATGTAATGCCTCTCTCATTTATTCATTCACTTATTCATCCTACCGTCCTGCCCAGCTGATGGAAGTCCAAACAGGAAGAAAAGCAGGAGCCTGAGCCCAGCTTCAGCTCAGAGTGGTTGGGTTTGGGGGCAGGGTTTGTTATTCCAGGTAATCAAAAATATTTTAGAACTAGGGATGTAGTTCAGTGGTAGAAGGCATGCTTAGCATTTGCAAGACCCTGGTTCAATGCCTAGCACCAAAATAAGAAGAAGAAGCAGGATGTGGTGGTGCATGCCTGTAAACCCAGTGGCTAGGGAGGCTGTGGCAGGAGGATCAAAAGTTTAAAACCAGCCATCCTCAGCAAGGATAAGGTACTAAGCAACTCAGTGAGACTCTGTCTCTAAATAAAATACAAAATAGGGCTGGGGATGTGACTCAGTGGTTGAGTGCCCCTGAGTTCAATCCTTGGTAACTCTCCCCCAGAAAAAAAAGTTCAAAGGCAGCCTCAGCAATTTAGTGAAGTCCTGAGGAACCTAGCAAGACCCTGTCTCAAAAATAAGAAGGGTGGGGATGTCCTCAGTGGTTAAGCACTCTGGATTCAATTCCCAGTATAAAAAAAAAATAGGGCTGGAGGTATATCTCAGTTGGTAGAGCACTTGCCTCACATGCACAAAGGCCCTGGGTTCAATCCCCAGCACCACCAAATAAATAAATAAATAAAAATAAACTAAAAAATAAAAGATGAAGAGGAGAAGGAAGAGGTGCTCTACCACTGAGCTACACTCCTGGCACTTTCTTATTTTGAGGATCATGCTGGTCTAGATCTTGTGATCCTCCTGCTTTACCCTAGAGTTACTGGGATTACAGGCGTGTGCTGCCACACCTAGCTGACAGGCACTGCTTAAAAGCTGTACATGTACAGATGCTCTTTGACTTACCCTGGGGGTACATCCTGATAAACTCAATGTAAGTTGAAAATATAATAAATCAAAATGCATATAAGGGCCTGGGGTTGTGGCTCAGTGACAGAGCACCCACCTAGCACGTGCGAGGCCCTGGGTTTGATCCTCAGCCCCACATAAAAATAAATAAA